TCCAAGTTGATTTCACGAAGCCACACAGCGCGTTTTAAAGTTCCCTCGAAGTTAAATCCTTTGTGGTGGTCTCATCATTTTCGTGTGGGTAGTTTGGTGATGGGGGTGTGGGGTTGCGAGAAGATGGTGAAGAGGATAGGATGTTGAGGGACTGCAGTTGGGCGAATGGTTTGATCGGCATGCAGACAGTCCACAGCTCGTCTGGTGTTATTTATGATGATAATTAATTGATAATAAATATAATATGATAATCAATTGATAATAATATATAAGGTAATAATTAATTGAAATTAAAAAAAAATAAATAAAAAGGTGAATACTGAAATAATAATTGAATAAATTAATAATAATTAAATAAATTACTTTGTTCTAGGTGAATGACAAGTTCTGTGGGGTCAATGTTTGTCGAGACTCCAATGACCTTACAGGCCAAGAGGAGAATATCGTATACATCCTATAAGAAAAGGAAATACACACACACATATATACACACACATACACACACATCACACACACATATACACACACACACCACACACACATAAAAACACACCACGCACACAATCATAAACATAAAACTACATTCACACGTATTTATTGTATGACCACGCACGCGTTAACACACACATACACACATAACACACAAACACACACATATACATACAACCAAACACACACACACATCCAAACGCACCATATCTCGAGTTATCTCCAGCAAGATATCCTTAGTTCCAATATATAACTTCAATATGAAACTCTGCTCGATTCAATGTTAATGATAAACATAATAATGTTAATATTTAAAACAATTAAAAACACAATAAATAGTGGAAATAGTTTTAATTAGCTTAATGTAAACATTAACGAAAAATTTTAGCAGTTAAAAATTACATAAACAAAACACTTCATAAGGTATCCACAAATTGTTGCTGTGTTAAACAAGATAAACGCATAAACTAATGTTTAACAACTACAACGTTGGTAAATGTTCATTTGTGTTTATATCACATAAGACCATGCTAGGTGGAACTCGTAAATTTTAACAATACGGATTTTTTTTTCTCAAATTTGACTGCAACGAGATTTGAACCCAGTAACGGCGACATCAAACGGAGAAGTAAAAAACCTTAGGCAGTATGGCCAATTCTTTGGAGCCAGGAACCTGACCGGCTGTTGATAAGTTATCGAGATCATCATCACTACTCGCCGGGTAATCATTATCAAGGGTTCTTCTCATTCTGTCGCTCCTTGAAACTGCATATATTTATATATATTTATTATTTATTTTTTTATTATACTTATAATAATAATTATTATTATTATACTTATTAATATTAATATTATTAGTATAAAATTAAAGAACAGGTAAGATAGAAAGATGGATTAACTTGTTTTTCCGTGTATTTTATTCTCAATCTGTTTCAGTAAAAGAATGAAATTTTATTATTATTATTATTATTGTTATTATTATTACTATTATTATTTTAATTAGTTAACTAATTGATTAATTAATTATTTTAATTTAATCTAGTTTAACATACTTGATAACTTCGGATGAGATCAACAATAAACTCAGACTGAAAAATAACATAATAACATAAATAATATAAAATAAAATAATATAATATTAACAATTATTATTTTATAGAAATTATTATTTTATAATAATTATTATAATGATTATTATTTTATAATAATAATTATAATAACTATAATAAGATTGTTGAACTACTAAGTTTTCATACTTGATCTGAGTAAAAGTTGAAAGCATCCGTTTCCGTCAGCAACTTGAACTGATGTCCTTTCAAAAGTTCAACGGACTCAAGATCGTCGTAACTTTATGAAGAATCAACAATCAATCAATCAACCAATCAATCAATTAGTCAGCCAATTAGTCAATCAATTAATCAATCACTCAACCGACCAATCTTTCATTCAATCAGTCAAACATCTATTCATTCAATCAAGCAATCATCCATTCAACAATTCATTCATTCAATCGGTCGATCATCAAAAAGCCGTTCAAACACTAAGTCACACATACATCGAATGAAACAAAACTTTCCAATAGGTGATTGAACGAGTCAAATAGTGAATTAATGAACGGGTGAACGTATGAATGATTGAACAGGCAGACGAACAAACGAATAAAAGAACGAACGAACGAGCGAAAAAAAAACACAAATGAATAACTGTTTGAACGAAAAAACAAACGGATTAACGAAAAAATACATAACGAATTAATGAACTGAATAGATACATGTATCAATGTTCATCAGACCTTATCAAGTGTTGTATCATGAGACTTCCATCCTCATTGTAGCAGAGAAGGCAGACTGTATAAGATCCAACGGAGATGACGTCGATGGAAAAACTCATGTACACACCCTGACGTGTCATGTGATCAAAATAATAATAACAACAACAACAATGATAACAATATATATATAAATATTTGGCGAGTTTGCTCTTGTCTGTTGTTGCAAGGTGACCTGGTTCAAATACACTCTGTCTGAAACTCGTGTATGCGGAGAATATAAAAACATAATACAACAATAATGATGGTAATAATTATCATCATCATTATTATTATAATTTGTATAATTTATTAGTAATAATTAATATTATGACCTGTAAGAGGAACATTTTGCTGAAGTAAAATGGGAGCCTCTTGGCCACATTTATCACTTCCAGTTTTTCATTCCTCGTCAAAGATTTGTCAGGCATGGCTGACGATGTTTTCTCCAACTTTGCTGTTTCGTGAGAAGAAAAACCCACTTTGTTATTGTTATTCGTGTGATTATTATTATGTTTTTACTCTCAAGCACTTGCTGATCAAAGAGCATGAGAGGATCGTACATTATATATTACGTCTTACTTATTTACACCCTGATTAATAATTTTCGATTGATTTCATTTGGATTTTATCTTTTCAGTCAATAAAAGAATGTTCCCATCATCAATCAGATCCCCATAAAAACATACAGAACAGATTTTTAAGCACGGCTCTGCAGTTGCTGGTCAGTCTGACGCAGTTAGTGGTAGAGTGGCACTCCAGAGCTATCTGTCTGTATATGAGGTCAATCAACTGGTCATCTGACACCATCTCTCCCGGAAGGAAGTACTGATTATGATGTCATTGTGATGACGGTGATGGTAATGGCTATGATGATGGCTAATGATGCCGGTGTGATTATAATGGTAGAGGGGATGGTGATGAGAATGATAATGAGGAAATAACTTACTGAGTCTAACAAAAAATACAAGCAATCAACCAACTAGCTGACAACACAACCAATTGCAACCGATCAATCAAGTAATAGACATGTCAACCAACCAACCAATCAATCAACCAACCAACCAACCAACCAGCCAGCCAACCTGCCAAACCAGCCAGCAAACCAACCAACCAATCAAAACAATTGTTTGATTGGATGGTTTGCTGGCCAATCAACCAATCAATCAACAAACTTCTTTCTTCAACTCAAGTTTCCATCTGACACTGCCATCATAGGTGCGTATCGGTGCATTTGGTAGAGGCAGCAAAATACACTTTGTCGCTAAACTGGGACGATGCTTCAAGTTCGGTTGCTGTGGCTGTGGCAGTGGTGGCAAGGGTGGCGGTTTTGGTGGACTCTCCTCTTCTTGAAATGATCGGCCCTTTAAGGGATTCTTATTGTCAGTTTCTTTGGAGTCTTCTTCGTTGCTTGCAGATACTTTGCGATTATTATTGTTAATGATGAATGTTGATCATCAAATGATGATGGTGATTAATGTAGTTGCTTTATCACTTATCTACCTATCATTTTCATCATCATCAACAACATCATCATCGCCATCACCATACTATCATCATCGGCATCATCATCATCGTCATCACCATACCATCATCATCATCATCAACCTCATCGGCATCATCATCATCGTCATCACCATACCATCATCATCATCATCAACATCATCGGCATCATCATCATCATCTTTTTTAACCTTCACCTTTTTCACCAAACTTCCCGTTAGAGTAGATCTCCTTCAGCTTTTCATTCATCTTCATAGTCAACTGCTTAAAATCTGTTTTCTGCAATTATAAACAATGATGATGATGATTAATAATAATATTATTATATTATTATTATTATTATTATTATTATTATTATGACGTAATAGTGACCACTTCTTTAGAGCCAACATCAGAAGCTGTATGAGCTAATGCTTTCGACGGAGACACCACTGAGGATGATGATGACGATGGAGTGGTGGTAGTAGTAGTAGCAGTAGTAGCAGCAGCTATGGTAGTAGTATTTGGAGCATTGCTGTTGGGGGTTTTGGTGGTTTTTTGAAGCACAGGTGATTTGGCGTCTGGTCTTTTTGATTTTGTTTCGTCAATGAGCAGCTTGTTCGGCATTGGCTTAGTCTAAAAATGATGACGATGATGGCAATGATGACGATGATAATGATAGGGTAGATTGATGAGTTGGCAATGGTGCAATGACATAAAATATAAAAAAAACTACGAACGGATTGTTTAACTTCTTCTTTATTATTTTCGTCCACTGGCGGCCAAACTATTTTGCTGAACTTTTTCGGAGTTTTCTGATCAGGATTTTGAGACGTAGACGAGGTTATTTCAAAGGAACCGGCATTTTGTTGCTGAGGTAGTGGTGGTTGTGGTTGCTTTGGCTGCTTTGGCTGCTGTGGTTGTTGTGGTGGTGGGTCAAAACTTACGGAAACTGAACTAGTTCTATGGGCCGGTTTGTCTTGCAGCGAGGAAGAACGTTTTGGTTCTTGATACGGTTGCTGTGACGGTACAAATTGCTGTTGTTGTTGCGGCCAGAATTGTTGTTGCCTGGATGGTATAAGTGGTTTAAGTTGTTGCTGCTGCTGCTGAAGCTGCGACAGTTGCTGCATAGGTTGCTGAAGCAGTTGCTGATGTTGCTGCTGCAGTTGTAGTAGTTGATTTGGCTGAATTTGTTGTAGTTGTTGTAGTTGCTTCTTCAAGACTTCAGTTTGTAGCGACGTTTCCAGAACCTGCTTCTCCAGCGATTTTGCTTGCAGTTGCATTTGCAGGTCGTATGTTTGCTGAGTTAAATACGTTATCGTTGGTGATGACGTCATTGCAACAACAATAACATCATCATCATCAACAACAAAAAACAATAACAACAACAACAACAATAATATTTGTCGCGATAATTTATTCTAAATGTGTTGTTCTGTTTCAAGTGTTAGAAATATAAGCGGCACAGAAGTGATTTTTTGTATTGCACTACTCATATTGAAGTCCTACCTTCCTTACGTTACTGATATTATCACATCAATATAATAAACTGATTGCATTTCTCTCTCTCTCTCCCTCTCTCTCTCTCTGTGTGTGTGTGTGCGTGTGTGTGTGCAAAGACACAAAAAACACACCATATACACCTACACACACTCACATACACAATACATACAAACACACAATACAAACAAACACACACACACACATAATACAAACACACCATACACACACACACACACACACACACAATACAGACACTTTAATATTTTCACATTTTTTATCAAAAAATTTTCTTGAATTTTTATAAAATAAAATAAAATAAACGAAAAAAGAAAAAAGAAATACAAACAATTTGGCGATTCTGCAGCTGTTGCATGTAAACTTGCTGCTGCTGTTGCTGTTGCAGGGCAGTTGCGTAGGCTGTCGTGATACATGTTTCAATAAAAGTTGTTCATGAGCTAGCGATTTTATTATAATTATTATTACCATTTTCATTATTATTATCAGTTTTATTTTTAGTAGTAGTATTAGTAGTTTTAGTAGTAGGAGTAGTAGTAGTTGTGGTTACTGTAGTAGCCGTAGTAGTAGTGTAGTAATAGAGTAATAGTAGTAGTAGTAGAAGTAGTAGTAGTAGTAGCAGTAGCAGTAGTAGTAGTAGAAGTAGCGACAGCAGGAGTAGTAATAGTATTCTTAAAAAACAGTGAATAATACAAAAATATTAACGATTGGCGGGAAAAATGGAAGCTGACGGATTGAGTAGAGACGGCGTGGGCTGGACCATAGGGGGTGGAATTAGGAGGGGGTTCATCAGGGAGTCCAGCAACTGCAGTTCGTGGCATGTGTGGTGGTAATGATAGATGTGGTAAACGCGATTGTAGTTAGTTGTAGTGTTTTATATATTGGGTTTTGTACATCGTTATGTTTATTAATGTCGTGATCTATGGTTTATGGTTATCTAT